GTGGCCAGCTCACGCGTCGGAAAACCTTCCGAATTATTCGTGTACGCACCAGACGAAAAAACAAAAAATATCGTGTATCCACGAGCACTCCAATAAATAAATAGAATTGAAACAACACTTTGAAATGTTTTCCCGATGAAAACGAATAATAATAATAAGTTTCAATAAAAATGATAAAATGAAAATTTAATTTTATCATAACAAGTTTGCTTGAATTTCATTTCTTCTGAGATCGCAGCAATGCGCGACGGGTAAGCTAGTACATAATAAAATCTATTAATTAAAAAAATTAAAAAACTATTGGAGGTTGTTTTTGACATCAGAAAGTAGCTTTAAATAACTTTACCGAAGTCAAATCCATGCACTACAACTTTAGAACAATTAATTAAATTTGATAAAAAAAATCTCATTAAAAAACAATTAAGCATTAATCGCGCATCATTAAAGGTTGATTAAAATTGCAATAAAAATTTTTTGCATGGGTAAAAATTTTTGAAAAAATTTGGAGACAAAAACATTCCAAAAATCTAAAAAAAATTTTTTTTGGGGCCAAAGGACCGAGTTTTATGTAACGCTATGCAACTTTCCCGAGTTAACTCGGGATATGGGCGTAACGGGATAATTATATAAATTATGTCCCCGATTGTAGATCATGGAAGGTTGGACAAAGATCGACCACCGGGAAGAGTTTGACAGTCATCTTACACAGAGTTCAAAGCGGGTAGTTGCGGACCCTCTTTTGGAGTTGGAGTAGGAGGCGGTTGGGACTGATTGGACTCAGCTGCACCTTCTCAAAGTCAGAAAAACACACTAGACAAAAATTTATGGGATCAACTTTGGAGGGGACTCTTGGCCCAAATCCCATCCCTGGCAACAGACCAGGGACCAATAGAGTTACAGGACCAACCAAAAAGAAGGATTTTGGGTAAAATCGTATAAAAGCCCGAAATCCAAGGACACAAGGAAGTTGTGGGAAGTTGAGGCAGAGAACCTAAGGAGATTCGAAAGGACTCTCTCTCTCATTTTTGGACCCATCCTACAAGATCAATGGAGATGAACCTTCTTTCGGTCTCGTGATACAAGATCACCGGAGACGAACTTGTTATCGAACCTCCACCAGATTGTGTAACTCATCCACCGTAAGCATGTCTTTACCTAAATAAATGTGTTAAGTTTGTAAATTTGGTCTCTGTGTGTCTCTCTTTGCGCAGCAACTGCTACCCCCATATGTCAAAAGACTTCTCGTCGGTCACTTTTCCCGCAATCTGACAGATTGCGGGAAAAGTGAGGGTCACAACCTTTCATCTAAGGCATACCCTAAGTGAGTGGAGTTGGGCCTTTTTAAAACCTTACACAATTGTGTGGTTAGGAACCACACAACTGGCCAAATGGTGAGATTAGGGTCTGGTCAAATCCTATAATGAGCTTACTGAAAAGGTCTGCTTATATCCACAGGACAGAAAGAGTTTGACTTTTCTGTTTACAATTTTGTTAGTCTTTTGTTAATGAAATTATTATTAAAATGCCCATTGGTCTCAATAAGTTTGGACAACTTATACAATATGCTAGAAGTAATGGATTTTAATGTATAAAAAATTGGTATACTCATATTATGAGCTTTCAACACAATCTGTTAATTAGTCACAAAGTTATGGTATCTGTAAACACAACATGTCAAATAGATTTTCCTGTGTCTAAACTTACCGAGAGCATCTTTAAAAAAAAATGAAAAATCTTTTGCAGTCTACAGACATTCACATTATTGTGATTTTTCCTGAAACATATGTGAGCTCGCAGATTTTTATGGGCTTTTAAAAATTCTAAATTTTCTATTAATTGTCTTCAGAAAAAACCCAAAGAATTTGAACTAGATCAGATTTCACCGATTATATAATGACTAGCTGAGGAAGTTTACAGTTAGGTGTGAAGAATGCACCGTCATCGTCAACAAAAGTCAATCACATGACAGTTTTCCCACGCTAATGATATAAAAGCTCAAATCTCCGGAAGCTCAGGGCAATTCGTCATAGGAAGTTGTACTTTGTGATAGTGCCCACCTTGACTCCTGAACCTCCATACAGCGGACTTGATCCAGCTAGAGAGAGAGGACATCAGCAAGAAGACACGGAAGACACCACACCCTTTCATACAGATGACATTCACCAAACTCTCCCTTCCACCGAGAGGTATTTAGGGGTTAAGGACACTTGCCGACTTACCGACGCACTCCCCACTCAATTTGCCCTCCTAGCCATCCAACGACCCTGAGATCGGGTTTTATCAACCTGTTGCTGATTAAGTGTTCAGTAGGATATTAACCCCTGACCCACAGCTTATCTCACATATGCTTCACTTGCTCATGTTTTGTATATCTATCCATGCTATTATTATTGTTAGACATTCCTATTTGAACCCAAAACTGGAAAGTTGACAAATCTGCAATAATTATATCTCTCAGTATTGTTTTATGCAGAGAAAAGAACTATTTAGAAACCAACTGTTGGTTTTAGTGTATGTTAATTCTTTAGAAATTATTATGGACATTACAATAAACTGAATACAACAATCCATTAAAATAATAATTATTTTAGTGAACTGTCCGACTCAGATGATTTCCAAGCCAGCTAGCTATTCATTTGACACAGTTTTGTCAATTTGGTTAAGCTAAGATCATTAGGATGCTCACTATGGAGCTACATCTGGGTAATCTTTTATGAATTATGTTACATCCAAGGCTGTGTTTTGTGTCGGTATTGTCATCACTACAGATATATATACATATTTAATTTAAATTAAATATATTATTATCATCAAATTAAGTTTTTACATGGAAACCTTGGAAATATACAAGGCCAACTTGACTGGTAAATGTATTAACTTTAAACTTCTATGCATTCAAAGCTAGAACTACTTAAAATAAGTAAGACAAAACCTTTCACACTTTGTTTCTAGCAGTTTAATCACTAAGTACAAACATTTTCGGCCATTTTGAATGGCCTTCTTCAGGTACAATTAGGTTGGTTGGAATGTCGGTTAGCAGGTATTCAAATAACGTCACTGTTTACAAACGTTTCTTCTTATTAGTGACGTCATTGCTGATAACAAAGTTTAGATGATATCGACATCGTTAATTTTCTTTTGATATTATTTTCCAAGGTGTGGGAATGGCTATTGCTGAGATAATTGCTAAAATTGGAAAATAACAAACAAGACAAGTTAAGAAAATGCTCTAAAGATTGCGACAGGCTCGATGAGGGTGGATTGGCTTACAGTAGAGCATCGTTTATCCGAAAGAATTCCAGTTGGCAAATTTAAATTTTCGCTAGTGCTGTGATTGCAATCTTTGGCTATGTCTTGGGCTACTCAAATATTTTATGTTTTTGATACTAAATTAACTTCTGAAGTATAATTTTTTATTGTTTTTATATTTTTCAATATATTTATTTTGTTTGTATAAAATAAAGAAATAATTTTTAACGATACAATAGCCACGATTATTATTTTAAAAAGTTTATGTTAGGCTTAACATTGACGAAAATTCAACACGAAGCGACACACAACGAAGAAAAATTTCAGGATGGGGTAGGTTAATGTATTTTTTCGTACATAATCGGTTATCCGAACAATCCCAGTCCCCAATTGATTTGGATAAACGATGCTCTACTGTATTTAGTTTAAGGGGTTGACCTAACTGTATCTGAAGAAGGCCATTCAAAACGGCTGAAAACGTTTGTACTTCGTGATTAAACTGCAAGAAACAAAGTGTGAAAGGTTTTGTCTTACTTATATAACTTTAAAGATGGAAAAACAGTCTCATATGCATAGCAATGTTTTTATGAAAAACTTTGAGTGCTGACATAATTTAATTTTATTAATTGGTATTATGTCTTAAATTTTTATATATGTGTTAACTTGATATAGGTGTTAAATTTATATTTACAATTGTTTAGTTTTTGTTGTTATATAGTGTTATGTTTTATGTTTATGTTCCAATTTTTAAAAAATAATATTTTGCTTGGTGAAAAGTTGTTTGGTGCATTCTAATTTGGAATATCATTAATGTAAGGAATCATTAATGTAAGAAATCTTGAGTAAGATCAAAAATGTCAAAATTATTTCTTCTCAATACTGGAACAAATCACAAACACACTTTAAACAACCTTTATAGCCTAGTAACAAAATTTTTTAATGTAAAAACTAAGTTTTTTCATGTGATATAAAAAAATATTAATACAAAAAATTCTTATTTTATGTGTATTACTAGGGACCTCAAAATGTTTTCAGAAGACCTGAAATTTATAGTTGTGCCCAAGACATAGTAAATAAAATAATTGCTATTAATGCTATCATTGTTGATTTTACTAAGAAAGTTGCACACAAACTCAAAATTATCCAATAACAGAGAATTGTCAATTAGTGCTTATTTACTGAAGATAATTAATAGGCATTAAAGTCAACAGTCAAGACATAAATAGTTCTCTGAAGTCATTATATAGAAAGGGAGAATTTCCATAAGTTTATCAGCTTTGAAGATGCAAGTTCAAGTAGGTATCTAATAATATCAATTGAAATCTGGATTGCTACAGAATATGGGATAAAACAAAGTTCAGATATACATGTGTATATATATATATATATATACATACACATGTATATCTTTGGTGGTTTCTAGAAAAATGAAACAATAGTTTAAAAATTTTATAGAGTTTAGAAAAAGGATCTTTAAAAACATGACTATGTTTGACATAGAGTTTTTAAAATCCTTTGCCTAAACTTCTTAAGAGCAAAAGTTATTGGATGAGTTCATAATTGCAATTTAAAATTGGCAGAGAATTATCCACTTTTAAACACAAATAACCTGTAATCTGTGAATTATTTTCATGAATGTATGGTTTGTGATTTTTTATTTGAAATATTGCTAGTGAATATGCTTAAGATAAAACTGTCATTTCTTCTTTGCAAAATTCAAATTTTCATGTAATAAATAAATAAAGTAATACCTTTCCGCTGGCACGGGTAAGTTTATTAATGATGTCAGCAAAAACAACATATTGATCTCCAGTTTCTGCAGCCATCTTCTTCCACTTAACATTTTGACGTAAACGAACATAATCTCCACGAAATGGATGAGATACACTAGAACAATTCAATATTACATTTCAATAAATATGAAAAAATTTATATTTAGCTAAATATTCAGTAATAATAGATAAAATTATTGATATTAAGAATCTTAATTTCATTCTCAAACATATAATTAAAAACAGAGAAAATAATCCATATTTAAAAAAATTAAATGTTCTTTGAAAATTACTATCTTATCTTTTATCTGAATCATCATCTACATGGAATAAAATAAAACAGTTGTTATAGAATTTTTAAAACATTTTAGACATATATAAAATAATGCTGTAATTGTTAAGGCTATTGGTCTTTTATTTAACTTGTTAAATTTGTGTAACTCTTGAACAAGAATGAACAAAAGATTACACAAATTTTGTAATTAGTTACAAATGCTTCTAACTATCCCTTATGTATTGAACTTCATCAAGCTTGCATCATCAATCTTTTATTACATAATACAATCATCCTGTAATAAGCTATACAAATATTGTATTAATGAAAAATTTCAGTTGTTGCATTCCACATCCTTTCAATGATTGATCATTAACATAAAGACATTTATTTATACTACTTGGATTATCTTGTTTGCATCAAAAGGTTAGTTTCCGCTTTTATTACAGTGAAATTGCTTCTTATCCTTATTATTTGCTTTAAATTTTTATTGCATCTATAATGGACTTAACACAACATTTTTTTGGAAAATGCTCAAGTAGAAAACAACAGACAAATATTTGCCATGTTACTTTATTTGATTAAAGATGCATTTTGGGCCCTTCAGTTTCACTTGTTCATAAAACACAGCATTCATTTTTTTCAGGTTTACAGGTTCTTAACTTACACAGTATATTTTAAAGAAGGGCATTACATAAGATATAATATAAATATACTTACATTTAAAAAAAGTTAAGATCATTTATCTTATATTACAGAAAATATTTCAAAAAAGTTGATACATGCCTTGAATGTAATTGTAAACAAAAGCATACTTATATTGAAGAAACAAAAAAGAAACTTAAAAGTACATGAAAAATGCCTTGAATGTAATTGTAAACAAAAGCATACTTATATTGAAGAAACAAAAAAGAAACTTAAAAGTACACTTTAAGGAACATGTAAATGCTATAAAACTCAATAATACTATAGAAGCTCCACTGTTGCAAAGCATTGCCACAATGTCAGATATGAAATCATTACAGAATCATTCAAAATAAAAAGAAAGTAATGTGTACAAAAGGAAATGTATGAACATTTAGAAATTATAATACAAGTCGACCCCCCTATAAGATATAGATACGTTCCAATTTATTAGGAATCCGATTTCTTACAAGTCGTTCCAATCACAGTCCGACACGTGTCAAGTTTACGGACTACAGCTGATTGAAAGGTTTTCTTCCATAAAATTAATCGATTCTACACTAATCCGACTCAATATTTCCAAAATACGTATATTTTTTCGTAGTTTTATAGGAATTGTAATTATAGGGACCGTAATTATAGGGGGGTCGACTGTAAATAAATCCAGGAAAAAGAATAAATGATAATGTAGGACAGTATGTGGGCCAAGGGGCCCTCACACTCCCAAAATAAAAGGTAAAGAAACACTAGTAAATTTTCCAAAAATAATCTCCCAATTAAAATTCATTGTCTTTATTTAAATTGTGTCGTGTCTTCTATTCATATATTACTTATGATGTAGTGGTCACATAAGCTAAGAATTTTATTGAGTTTGCATTAAAAATTTTTTCATCCATTGATCTCAGCTCTCTAGGATTAAATTTTGAGTGTGCCACTGATGTAGGATTTCAAATTCATACTTTGTAATACCCATTTATTGCTGATAGAGGGAGCAGTTGAGTATGGTTTGATAATTTTATGATAATTAACATCACCATCTACAGATGGAAATAATTTAAGAATTCTTAACTTTGTGTTAATTACCTATTTAATGAATATATACTTCATGGTTTTTTTAAATGAATATATTGTAAAATATGCATGTGATGAGTGTAATCCAACAAGAGGATAAGCATATAGCACACATATAGGTTCTTCCTTCACCTGTGTTTATTTTCTTTACAGGATTCTTTTATAAATTCCGACACTCCTCGTTTTTGTTCTTTTACATATAATTTCTACAGATACTCGGACAGAATCATTAAGTATAATCTTGTGACAAAAAAAAAAGGAACTATGACTAAATACTTAAAACTACTTATACTAAAAAAAAGAAGAGGAAGAAAAGATAGACAATAGGATAGCTGGATATATGATGATAGAAAAGAATGAGTACCCAAAGTGTTGCAATCTTGGAGTGATGGTGGTGATTGCTGAATTATTAATTCTCTAAATTGTAGGAATTGTTGATTGTAGAACTCTATCAGGTTCTCTCAATAAGCTTCCGAAGATCCTTATATTGAGATATATTCCGGGCTCCTCTTGAATGCNACCATATTTGTTCATTGCAACCAAATTATTCATGCTCATAGCATCTCCTGCTAGACTATCATGGTATATAGTTGCCTTTTCCCCCACCTACCACCACGTACCCAAAGTGTTGCAATCTTGGAGTGATGGTGGTGATTGCTGAATTATTAATTCTCTAAATTGTAGGAATTGTTGATTGTAGAACTCTATCAGGTTCTCTCAATAAGCTTCCGAAGATCCTTATATTGAGATATATTCCGGGCTCCTCTCGAATGCTAGCTTAGTCTTATCATCATCTTTCTTCTCCAGTCGATGCCAGAACAACCTGAAGGTCCTCACAACACATCCTCTCTCTCCAACATTTAAGCCAAAAGTAAATTCTTGTCCTACTCTTAGCCCTCAGGCTACCCTTTTCCTTTGTCTTGTAATTAGGTCACCACCACCTGAACAGGGAAGGGTTAGGGAAGAAGTTTCTAGAAGGTGATACACAAAAGAACTAACAAATAGGAAGAAAACAAAATAAATACTAAGAATAATATATGCAACAATATACAAAATAAGGCGTACACCACAGTATATTTCATAGTTAGGTAAAGGTTTACTTATAAAGCAAAGTAATCCATTAACTATGTTTATAGTTAACTTATAGAAATATGGAATATAATATAATATAGAAAACTTATGTCTTAATATTGATTTGTAAACAAAATTTAGATATAGTTAGCTGAGACTGGCATGTATTGAATTTTTTGAAATATTTTTGTAATATAAGATGTATGGTCTTAATTTTTTTAAAAATGTAAGTATATTTGTAATATATCTTATGTAAAAAAATATAATTGTAATGCCCTTCTTTAAAATATATTGTAGTAATTTAAGAACCTGTAAACCTGAAAGAAATGAATGCTGTATTTTATAAAAAGGATTAAACTGAACAGGGAAATAACAGTCCAAAATGCATCTTTGATCAAATACAGTGGTGCCTCATGCTTTGAATTAAATTCATTCCAGGAGGCCGTTTGAAGTCCAAATCAATTTTTCCCATTAGGAATAATTGAAAGTGAATTAATACATTCCCAAACCCTAAATAATAGTCATTTCAACAAACTTAAAGCAAATACATATAATTTAAAGAAAACTAATACAATTAAAGGCATCAATAATAAATTAAAACATGAAAACAATAAATAATATACATAAATACTATATAAAATGAAAATTTCATTTACTGTTCACACACCATTGACTTTTGCATCTTAAACATGGCTGCTAGTATAGGCCTAAAAAATCAAATATGAGACATTAAACCTGTTCAGGCCCATTTATTAATACAAATCTATACAATGAAGTTTCAAAGTAAATACAAACAGAAATAGCAATGTTTAAGGAATAAAAATGCAATACCATCTAAAGAGAAAGCCACCCTGAGCATTCAGACACAGATCCCAAAGCTTTGACAAGCATCTGGTACCATCCTAAAAGAAAGAACATGGTTGTTCCTTAAATCATTCCAGTACAGCAATTTAGAGTTCATCATTGTGGAAGCATTTGCTCTTCAGAAATTTCTTGGAAGCCTGAACAAATGAAAATCACAAGGTGATAGATCAGGGCTGTTGTCAAAAACATTCCAATGTTTCTTCATTAATGCCTCCTGCATGATACTCACAACATGCAGATGTGCATTGTCATAAAGAATAATCAGATGACAACATGGCAAGGCACTTCCACCTAATGGCTTGATGCAAGTTGTCCAGGATCTGAGTATAGCTAAGAGCATTAAATGTATTGCAGGACTTTTTAAACTCCAGCAATAGTAATCCTTCATGAACAAAAAAAGCTGTCAGCATCACCTTGCCCAGAAAAGGTTGTGTCTTGAATTTCTTGGGTTTTGGTGAGCTGGCATGCTTCCCATTGCATAATGGCAGCTTTGCTGGATGGTTCAAAATAATGGTACCATGTTTTGTCACCAGCCACTATGCACAGTAGGAATTTGTCACAATATTCCTCATACTGGCACAGGTGTTGCAGATATGCTGTTCCTTGTGGTTTGCAGTCAGCATCTATAGAATTCATTGTGAATGGACTTTTTGATACAATAATTTGTTATTCACAATATTCTGAACTGAGCTAAATGACACCAAACTCTACTGCAAGTGAAGGTAAGCTTCTCTGCCAATCCTCCTGTACAGCATTGTCAGTTTTGGCAATGAACTCATCAGTTGTGATAAAATGCACCAGCCCAGGGTGTTTACTGACAATCTGTCTGAAACATGCATACCCAATCCTTCATTGTTGTTTTCAATACACATTTCTCACCATACACAGTATTCAAGTGTTGATGAATTTCACCTGGCTGACAGCCTTCTGCTGTCAAAAACTGAATCACAGAATGTTGTTCCACTTTTGATGGATTTGGAATCATGACCATATTTGTTCATTGCAACCAAATTATTCATGCTCATAGCATCTCCTGCTAGACTATCATGGTATATAGTTGCCTTTTCCCCCACACGCATGCAGTGGAGTGAGCAACAGAGCCCAGATCAGTTGCTCACACCTCATATATTTAGATATAGTTATTGTTCACGGATATTTCTAAAACTTTCTCTGTCTTTCTCTTTACTTTATTGCCTACAGGAGCAATAAACTCTTTGAACTAGCACTGAAGAGGGGTTGGAGTTTATTTGAACTAGCACTGAAGAGGGGTTGGAGTATATTATACCAACCCGAAATATATTTGTAGTTCAATGAAAAATAAAAGTTAAATTTGCTAACCAGAAATTGCTGTGAGATACGTCTACCAAAGCGTGTGTTTTGGATTACAGAGACGAATTTACATTGTTAAAAATAATATAGAGTACATTTATGAAAGTTATAAAAGAAGATGTAAGGAACCAAGTCTGAGTATTATTTTTATTTACTTTTATTTTTGTTGTTTATTATATTTTTGTTTGAGGCTTATGTTTTGTTAGGACAAAGGTTTCCTCACCATTCACCTTAGAAACTTAAAAATAGAAGAGAAACCAACTCACCAATGAGAGAAAAACGCCATAGGAAAAATTCGCGCACACTTGCACTCCCGAGTTGAAAAAAGTAAGTCAGCACCAAGAAAAGGGGGGAGACTTCACAAGCACAACTTAGGAACTCGCTAAACCTTAAAGAATAAAAACATCCCAAAAATTGTCAAAAAGAATAATGTAAAAGGTTAGCGAGTATTGTCAGAAAATAGGCTGCCAGACAAATAGAAAAAAGTTTATTGTTAGCAAATAAGTATGTAAATGAGGGGAGTGATCGCATTCAGAATTGTGACGTCACCTCATAATATAAAGTCTGAATCTCAAGTGAAGAGGGACGAGGTGAGCTCCTGTTATCAACGAGCGTGGTGAGCTTCATAGCAGCAAATGAGAGAGAGGTGTCCAATAGGATAAAATAGTTCCAAGGCGATTTTGAAGTTATTCAATTTGTGGATCGACGAATAGAGAAAGTCTTGAGAGTTGAGGAAAAGGGTTCCTAGTATATTAAGGTGACGATTAGGATCTTTAATTCATAAGAATTATTGTACATAAATTAAGTTTTTGAAATTTTGTAGAATTCCAAAGGGGAATAGAATTAAGTTAGAAAATAGAATGATTTGAGTTTTGTCGGGTTGATTCTTATAGAGTTTCTTTGAATAAATTGTTATTTGATTTTTACTAAATATTGTATACAGTTTATTACTAGAACTTTTATTAAATATTTGATTTGTTATTGACAAACTTTGTCATTATTTAGTTCGGTGCACGCTTAAAATCCAGGCCTGGCATACTAACATGAATCCGCGTAAAGTACCCGTTAGGGAACAGCTAATTCCAGCACACAGTTGTGCCGATAATCGTTGTAGAAAGTCGGAAAAATAATTATAGTACTTTACAAAAGTATCATTTCCATTAGTATGTTATAATGCATACTAACAATTACACAGCAATATATTTCAATTAAAATATTATATCTAGGTTTAACTATAACATGTACAGGTACTTTACTCTGATTAAAGAAAACAAGGCAGAAAACTGATTAAGATATTTAATTTTTTTTTTCCTCTAGTGATGGCTTGTGGCATCTAATACAGGAGTGTTGTCTCAAGAGGTGATATAGCATGCCACATAATACCATCATCACAACAACTGGATAATTAAAAATAACATAAAATTAAACCAAACTCCAATAAAAATATGTAATATTGGCCAATAAACAAACACTCTCAACAGCTATCATCATCAGACTAAGTCCCAGTGTTCGAAAATAGAGCATAACGTGGAAGGTCAATCTTTAAATGATGGTGAAGTGCTGTCTGATTGGTTGTTCCTATAGTGATGTATAAATAGGACCTCAAATAAAGATCTCCAGGCCTGATGTAGTGTTAGAAATATATAAAGCTTTTAAGAAAAATGTTGCAATTAATTTTAAAAATATTAACACCCTCCACTTCATCATTTAAAGATCAATGTTTGATGTTTTGTTCTATTTTCAAACATTGGTGTGTGACATGCAACAATAATAGAATTGTTTTAATTGATGCTGATTTTGATAAGAGCTTAACTTAACTTTAACTTAAAACTAATCAAAATAGTGCTGCATTCTCTTGTAACAGTACCCTGATGTTAGGTACCACAAGCTGACACTGATTTTCTCTAAACGTTCATTTTTGTGCTTACCATCTTTTACACTTGAACCTTTCATATAAGAAATTACAATGTTAAAAATACTTTTTTAAGACTATAAAACAACAAATTCTTTTTGTTTATAAAAATTTATCAAATAATGTAATCAAAATAAAAATTTCATAAAAACAAATAAAGCAATAAAGAACAACTTCACTATTAACTCTTTTGACTTAGTTCATAAAATAAAAGTGCTATAAATGCATACTTAAACCAATACATATAAAAGAACGTGCCAGTATATCAGACAAGATTATTTGAAAACTGTAGCTTAAAAATTAAAATTTAAAAGGAAAAAAAATTTTGACTATTTGCTATTTCTTTATTTTCAACTTTTTCAAGAAATTGTAAGTTCTTATATCATAAGATCATAAGAAAAACTTGTAATTTAATCAATAAATATAAATAAAATATATACCTTTTTGCATAGGAAGCTTTACGATCCTTGAATATAAAACAAGCAGTTACTTTTTCTCTCATTCTGTTTCTAGCTGTTTGATCAAATTGCATTCTGTACTTATGGCACTGGAATAATTAAGTTAATTTTAGATAACATTTAAATTAAAATTCTAAATTTCAAAGAATCAACTTTATAATTATTATTGATTAAAAATTTTTATTACATCCTGCAAGTAATTTATTGTATAAATTTTGATCAACTTTATAGTTATATCATCTGTTATGAAAATATTTTATTGAAAAATTTTATTTCATTTTCATTTAATAAATAGCATGGGTCTTTTAAAAAAGACAAGTTATTTGTTTTACTAAAATTTATTTTTCTATAAAATTAAATAATGCCTGGTAAATCAGTAAGCTTCTACATCTAGATTGGATGTAATCTTTATGCATATTCAGAATTCAACTTTTCTAAATGTGTATCTTCTTCACCAATATGTTCTTCCTTCCATTCCAATTCCAATTCTTTTTCCTCACTTTCATGTTTGCTTGTTACATAGAAAGTATGAACTACATGATGGATTAAAAAGCTATCTATGATAGACATACTTAATTTTTGTAATGCTCTGAAAGATTTACAATTCACATTTCTATTTTTTCTAAAGTAGATGTCTGCTCATTTATTACATTCTTACTAGCAGCTTTATTGTTCATTCATGTCATAAAATAAATTATATACTGGATAGTGAATAAGTTAAAAATCACACCTTTATCATTCCAGCAAAAGATTTTTAATACCATAAAAGCGTTTTCAATCGTTTTAAATGATCTTCCTCAGTTACATCAAAATAGAACATTGAAAATTGAACATAAAATAAAATTATGGAATAAATATAAAAATCAAATGAAAAAATGTGCATGTGGACTAAATATAAATAAAATAAAATAAATGATATAAATAAGGCCAAAGTAATGAAAGTGAATAAAATACAAGTTATAAGATGAACTATAGTATTATCTGTTATTATTCTTAATTATTGTAAAATGATCTCCAAGCAGTGAAAATTTAGCACCATCCTTTTCCTCCAATCTACACTGGGAGAATGTCGTCTTGTGGTTTGGAAGGATGTAATAAGCCTCTCTACCTTGCGTCTCGGTAACCTTGCTGTTTGGCTACTTTAAGAATGTAATCCAATTCCTTAATTGTATCATAAATGCTTGTGCAATGTGTATAGGCGCATTTAATCCAAGCCCTGAAAGATGCTAACTTGTTGTGCCTGGGATCGATGGATTGTCGTGGTATAATAATAGGCTGAAAACAGGGCTTCCGGTATATGTTGGTCCAGATTTCCTCTTGCTTGCAGGTGATGGAAATGTCAAGGAAGTTAATGTTAATACAGCTCTCCTGGTCTATATGAATGATAAGCCGTAAGGGTTATCATTACATACAGACACATCAAGTTAGCATCTTTCAGGGCTTGGATTAAATGCACCTATACACATTGCACAAGCATTTATGATACAATTAAGGAATTGGATTACATTCTTAAAGTAGCTGAACAGCAAGGTTACCGGAGACATGAGATAGACAGGCTTATTACATCCTTCCGACATTCTCCCAAGGTAGATTGGAGAGAAGGATGGTGCTAAATTACATCCCATTTTTAAACAAAATACATAGGAATATTGCCAAAGCTAATAATCTTCAAATTGTATACCGACATAAATCCACTGTTTACAAGCTTTTAAGAAATGATAAAAAAAAAAGAAGACCGGAATTCAATGGCGGGAGTTTATTCAGTACCTTTACACGACCAATGTTTTGATTCTAAGCTTGTTTATGTAGGAGAGACTATGCGCCATTTAAAACAAATGCTCAAGGAGCACAGGTACACTATCGATAAGAACCTTGACAGCACCGTGCTAGCATCATACGCAAGACAACAGGATTTTAATGTCCAATGGGATCAAGCTGCTATTATCAAGACTACGATAAACAGACATAAAGTGAAACATCTTGAGAAATTAGAAATCTTCAAAGCACATATGAGAACTGGATGTATAAACCATAGGGACCACAGATGCGTTATCCACTGCTTGGAGATCATTTTACAATAATTAAGAATAATAACAGATAATACTACAGTTTATCTTATATCTTGTATTTTATTCACTTTCGTTACTTTGGCCTTATTTATATAATTTATTTTATTTTATTTATATTTAGTCTGCATGCACATTTTTTTGTTTGATTTTTATATTTATTCCATAATTTCATTTTATGTTCGATTTTCAATGTTCTATTTTGATGTGTGAGGGTCGTAAAAGCGTGTCGAAATTACGACTAATTACAAACTTTAACGTCTGAGAGTTTTGAAGATAGAATCGGGTCAAGAGGGTGTGTTAATGACAGAACCAAGATGGAATGAAAACTTTTTTCGAATTGTAAAACAAATGCGACGCGATGATAAACAACAGGGGGGAATGTCGACAGAGAGAAAGAGCTTTGTCGAGATGCGTGCGAACAGGTGTCGGGTCGAAGCAAGCGAGAAAAAGGGGGGGTCTAAGAACAAAAGGGACATCTGTTAAATCCGAACGCGGTAGGGGATAAATGGCCACAGGAACATCTGGTGGACTGTTTAAGTTCAAAAATGTCTAAGAGAAGGGCCATAATGGAGAAAAATACGAGCACGAACATTAAAAGCCCCGTCATCACCTCTCTGACCTTTCCCCGACCCGGATTGGTCTCGGGTTTCGCCTAGAAACAAAGGAATGACCAATCGGGGTAAGAGAAAGGGCGAACGGGACCAATCAAAAGGGTGAGATTCGGGGAAAATCTTATAAAACCCCCAAATCTCAAGGACAAAAGGGGGATTCTCAGCCAATTCTCTTCGAGGAGGAATTCTCAGCCAATCCTCGGCAGTTCCACTCGGATCAGGTTCTCCACCAGTGACCAAAATCTATGTGCAACCGCAACATCACCAGACAGAGGCCCCTGTGCAACGGACACTCTCCTGTCAAGCCCGGGACACCAGTCAGCGCCCATTCGTCGACATCAAGGAGCTCCCACCAAAGCTGATCTAGACCGCATTGTTATTGTTATTATGTAAGTTAACCTTATGTCAAAATAAATGGTTTTCGTGTAAGACACTTGTCATCTTTCTCTCCTGCTGCCACCACCCACGTACGGTTTGATCCTAGGTTTTCCTGACGCGTAATTAACGTATTGCCCCCTAAAGTTGGCGACCTTACAGATGTAACTGAGGAAGATCAATTAAAATGATTGAAAACGTTTTTATGGTATTAAAAATCTTTTGCTTGATTGATAAAGGTGTGACTTTTAACTTTATTCATTCATGTCATGTGACATCTTAACTACTGACATTTGCTATGGTTCTATTACAGGGTCCTACAACCTTTGATCCTAACACTAGTGTCTCTCTATTGTTGTCTTGCCTTCGGTGTCAATATTCTGATCTTTCATTTCACTTTCATCTAAATACTTGTTAACTTCTTTATTCAACATTGTGAACACTTAATTGTGTGCAAATTGTCTATTTGTTTCTGTTCAACTGAACATGACTTACAGTCAACTTCACTTATATCAAATTGGTGTAATAAAAACAAGATAGCTTAGCTCTAACTTTGGAGCCAATCCCAAACTGACTTGTTTTTATACACACCAACTTGAAAAAATGGTCTATGTACTTTCTAATATACGCCAACTATCTCTAATTACTTTTAACACTTTTGCTGTTGCCGCTGAAAAAAGATGCACTAAATATACCAATTTCTTGTTTTTTTTTTTCATAAAGTATGTCACTATTATATACAAATTAAAAATAAAAAAAATTATTTTTAGTTTTAAGCAATTTTTATTGAACTATATTCGATGTGAAACTGCACAAGAGGACAAAATGACATAAAACCATTATAATTAAGTATGTCCTGGAAAAGTAAGAAACAAGCAATGAAATATAATTTATAAAATCTTTCTTACACTTCCAGATAGTAGGTAAAAGATATCTGAAAAATAATACATGTGCAATTTACCATAAACTTCCAGTGTGTGAATGATGCAAAATTGCATCAAATGGCAGCAAAAGTGTTAGTTCTGACATATCAATCCTCTTCAGAACCTTTAGACCAATTCTAATTCCATTGTATCAACTTTACTCTTTTCATATCCTAGATAAGACCCCAAAGGATTTAAAAGAATAAAGGACAAGAAGAACAAGATAATGTCTTCTTCCACACCACAATTTCACAATTCAAATGCTATCTTGCAAATCTTTTGCCTATTTTTTCTTAACCACACATCATATACTTTTCTAGCCTTTGGATCAAGTGGCTCTCTCTCAAGTATATATATGTTGTATGCTTATATTTGTATGCGCTTATGTTTGACAACTTAAAATAAATAATTATCTTTTATTTATTTCTGGACTTCATAATAAAAACTGATATAGTAAAATTTAAAATATTGATATTATATCATTTTCAAAAATGAAATAAAATATCTCAAAATACAGTATATAATAAATGAAAATCAATAATCTAAGATTCAATTTATTATTTATAAAAATATGCATGTAAATAATATATACACAAAATGTTTAAAAATAACTTAAACATACTCGCCACTTATGATACAATATTCTTAAATGATAACTTGTTTCACGAAGACAAGGAGGTGCAGAAGGCCATTCCCTACTTAAAGGAGACTCTGATGGTAAATGCTTAGATAACCATAAAAGGTAACTTTTTCTCTAAAATGGAAAATATGATTATATAAAACTAAGAATATAATTAAATTAATTTGTAATTTAAATAAGAATTATTTTTATATAAAATATCCAAGAAAAATTTAATTATGCTGATAGATTATTTACAAGTCTAAACATATTTAATTTTGAAATTGCTTATTGTATTATTGTAATTATTGTTCATTAAAATAATATGCCATTTAAATATATCATCTTTGACTCAGTTGTATTCTTTGTTTCATATTTCAACAGATATTTATTTTTCAAACATATTGCAAAAATTAGCTCATTTTACTACTAAAAATGATAATAAGTAGTAAAAAAGTATAAAAGCTGTTTAATGACACTTAAGAAGACTAAAGACTATTATTTTGGCCCTTTGAAATGGGGGTTGAACGTCGGGTTTACACCCCTACCTTGTAAAAACATCTTGTAACGACACAAGCAGGAAATTCGCTGGATGGCTCTAAAATGAATGACTTAAGGAACGGAAAGGACAGTGAGATAGACGGCAAAATGATTTTTATAAATAGAAGAAACAGAAGTAAACGGAAAAATAACAGGAAAAGGACAATGAAAAATGTCTTAGCAATAGGTACTTGGAATGTTAGAAGTTTATTTAGGACTGGTCAATTTCAAGGTCTTTAGAGAGAACTAGAAAGATATAATATAACAATTGCTGCTATTCAAGAAATATGTTGGAAAGATAGTGTTATATTAGAGGGAGATAAATACTTAATAATTCATAGTGACTATGTAAATGACCAATTGGAAACTGGATTTATGATTAAGAAGGAGCTGCAATATTCTATTCTAAATTATCAATGCATTAATGAAAGGATAACCACATGTAAAGGGAAGATTTTTCAACATCACAATGATAAGTGTGTATGTACCAACAGAGGAGAAAAGGGAAGAGGTAAAAGATGAATTTTATAGTCAGAGGAAGTCCTAGGAATAGTACCAAAATATGATGTTAAACTAATACTGGGGGATTGGAATGCTAAGGTAGGAAGAGAAGAAGTGTATCAAGGAGTCATCGGAAGAAATAACATTCATGAAAATAGTAATGACAATGGTAAATGAGAAGTGGACCTAGCTTCAGGACATAATATGGTGGTTGCAACAACAGTGTTTCCTCATAAAAGAATACATTTAGGTACATGGATTTCACTGGATGGTACAATACTGTAAACCAAATAGACCATATACTTATCGATAGAAAGCATGCTACTGATATTACAGATGCAAGATCTTACAGAGGGGCAGATTGTAGTACAGATCACTACTTGGTGAGGGAAAACTATAGACAAAAAATATCAATCAAACCAAGAAGTGGAAGGGCAAAAAGTGCTATAAGATATGAAGTCAAATCTCTAAAGCAGAAAGAAATTAAAATTTAATATCAACAAAACAAAATAAAACAAACAATAATAAAACAAAACCTGATGAAGGCAAAGGAAAGGAGACAGAGACCAAGAAACATTGAAGAACGATGGGAAGATATAAGATCAAGTGTCATCGCAACTGCAGCAGAAGTACTTGGAAGTAGTAGAAAAAAAAAGGAAAAATAGTTGGTTTGATATGGATTGTAGAGATGCATTAGAAGAAAGAAGAAATGCAAGTTTAAAGATGATACAAAATGAGTCTGAAAATAATATTGAAGACTTCAAAGAAAAGAGAAGGTTGGCATCTAAATTGTGTAAGAAGAAAAAGAGAGAATGGCTAAATGCAAAGCTAAAAGAAATGGAAGAAAATAGAAGAACTAATGAAATAAGAAAATTCCATATAGAGGTTAGAAAAGAGAAGAAAGGGTTTCAACCAAAAATTGGTTTCTGTAAAGGAAAAGGAGAATTAATTGGTGAGAAAAGTGAAATTCTAGATAGATGGACTGAATATTTTAAAGAACTATTAAATGATGGAGTAGAATCTATAGGGAGTCAAATGGAAACAAAAATAGACAAAGAAGCCACAGGGGTAGATTCTGAGGAAGAAGGAGAAGAATGTGAAAATGGGGGATGTAAATATCCAAGAACAATCAAATTGAGATGGGCAATAACAACTCTAAAAAACTTTAAGGCTCCTGGGGAGGATGGAATAGTATCAGAAATGATAAAAGCAGATGGTGTGAAATTGGAACTAGAGATAGGTAAACTCGTTAAGAAAATCTGGAAAAGTGAACAGATACTACAAGGTTGGAATAGAGGAATAATATGCCCAATACACAAAAAAGGAGACAAACTAGATTGTGGTAACTACAGAGGAATTACTTTATTGAATGTAGTTTATAAAATTTTTTCAAAAATATTAGCAAAGAGGTTAGCAGTATACATGGAAAATATAGTGGGAGATTATCAGTGCAGTTTTTGCAATAACAGATCAACTATAGATCAAATCTCCACAATTAGGTTAATTCTGGAGAAATGCTACGAGTATAATATCGAGATACACCAACTTTTTATTGACTTCAAAAAAGCTTATGATAGTATTAGAAGAGAAAAAGTTTGGGAGAGTCTCCAGGAATTGGGAATACCTCAAAAACTTATAAATACAGTAGAACCTCGATTATCCGGACTAATTGGGGATGAAGGTAGTCCGGATAAGGAAAAATCCGTATAATTGAAACAAATACTTTAATTTGTCTTTTAATGATAATACAACACATTTTCTTTTCGATGACATATCGGTATTATTAAAAGTAAATACTGTATTTAAATTGTGATCAAATTTTCAAGAAACAAACGTTCGTATTGAATTTGGACTACTACTGACCAACACTAACAGACTACCTATTGTTTAAAAGACCCTCTGGTGGCTCAAGAAGACGGATTTTATAAAATAAAAAGCAGTTGAAACTGCATTTTTATGAAAAAAATTTGACAAACTATTTATCGTTTTATGACGAGTAAAATTTTTTCGTCGCGTTCACGGCTTTTAAGTAATGCATACCCTTCGAGGTGCGAGGCCCTTCGGACCGCGAGGCATAGGCGGTGGCCCACGTCGTCCATGCCTTACGCCACCCTTGATAATAGAAATGATGTAATTTGAATATAAATTATTTATAAATATGTATGTCAAGTTATATTTTTATTACTGTGTAAAATATATTTATGAGTTTACGACCACTGTGCTGAGTGAGACGTTGTTGAAACAAAAAATGTTATGCATTCCATCAAGTACATAAACAGTGTCATAATTCGCCAAGTGCAAATCAGCAAATTCGTAAAATTTTTGTTTATTTTGAACAATCCGGATAATCGAAAATCCGGATGACGGAGGTCCGGATAATGGAGGTTCTACTGTATAACAAAGTTAACTTTAGAGAAGACAGAAGGCAGAGTTAAGATCCAGGGATATATGTCAAGAGCATTTGCAATAAAGAAAGGACTCAAACAGGGAGATGCACTTTCTACAGTTTTATTTAACTTAGTATTAGAAGTGGTAACAAGAAAAGCAAATGAGAAAATGGATGTAGATGCAGGAGGAATGATTTTTAAGAAACATTTTACAGTGCTTAGCATTTGCAGATGATATAGTTATATTGGGAAGATCTAAAGAGGTAATTGAAGAGGCATTTAAAATAATGGATGAAGTAGCAATAGAAAAAGGCCTAACAGTTAATGATGAAAAAACAAAATATATGAATCGAAGTTTAGACTATTTACAAAAAGTCAAAATAACTTTTTGAGTCTATCTCGTAACTACCACCAGAGGGCCAGAAGCAGTTTTAAAAAGTGGATAAAAATGGAAATGGTGAAGAATTTCTTTGTGTTTTTAATTGTAAAAGTGTCAGAGACCTACAAGGAAAGGCTGACACTTGATCTTTTTTAACCTTGTGAAGTTTTTTTTAACCAATTTTTACCTGTGTTTTAAGAAGAGTTCTTCAAAGCAAATTTTTTTAAGACTGTTACTTCTGTGATAGTGTAAAAAAGGATAAAGATAGACTCAAAAGTTATTTTGACTTTTTGTAAATAGTCTAAACTTCGAATTATGAAGAAATAAATCCTGAGTTATTACAAAAATTGTAAAAATATATGAAGTTAATTAGAAAAGATTGTCAGGGGCCAAGTGGACAAATTCTACATATAAAGGTGAATAAATTTCAATACTTAAGAACTCAGCGAACAGAAAAGAACAAAATTCATGAAGAAATTAAGGCAAGAGTGACAGCAGGAAATATAAGCTATTATACTTTAAGATGAATTCTAACATCAGAATATATAAAACTATTGCATGACCAGTAATCATGTATGGATCCGAGGCTTGGACACTGACAAGTAAACATGAAGAATAGTTGAGAGGATTTGAGAAGAAGATTTTGAGAAGAATATATGGGTCAGTACAAGAGGGAGGAGAGTGGAGAAGTAGTAATAAGGAACTTGAAGATTTATATGAAAATTCTGATATTGTGACAGAAATCAAAAGAGAGAGATTTTGATGGATTGGGCATTTGGAAAGAATGGACCCGAAGAGAAAGGTGCATCAAGTGTATAGAGAAAGAACAGAGGGGAGAAGGTTGAGAAGGAGACCACGAAAAAGATGGGATGAGGATGTGGAGGCTGATTTGAGAAAGATGGGTGTGAGCTGCTGGAGAAGGAATGCTCAAGAGAGAGGAATGGGTGAAAATTAGGGTTTCTTTTCCGGGATCTCCGCCATTTATCCCCTATGAGAAAAATCCTGGGAAATTTTATTTTCCCAGGAAATCTCGCATTTCAATAATAATTTATCATGTCAGGTTTTCTTTCTATTATTTATTATATGAAAAGTTGCATCTTGAAGACTCACCTAAGAGAGAAATTTTGAGGTTTTCTGCTGCATATTATTACCTATGTTTTACAAGTCTCTACTTGTTAGTTCATGTAATATCTATGTATTGTGTTTGCGCATCATTAAACAGCATAGCACTCGCTGAAAGTAAGTATCACTCATCGCACTTTAGTTTATTTTTTATTTCATCTTTAGAAATAAAATAGTATTTTTTTTCGTAATCATTAAAACTCCCA